AAGGGAGGTGATTCTGCCCCTCTACTCAGCTCTGGGGAGGCTGCACCTAGAGTATTGTGTGCAGTTCTGGGCACCCCAGTATAGGAGGGACGTGGAGCTTCTTGAGAGGGTCCAGAGAAGAGCAACCAAGATGATTAAGGGAATGGAACATCTCTCGTACGAGGGGAGGCTGAGTGAGCTGGGCCTGTTTTCTCTGGAGAAGAGAAGGCTGAGAGGGGMTCTGATTAATGTGTATAAGTTCAGGAAGGGAGAATGCAGGGAGGAAGGGGACAGGCTGTTTTCACTGGTGGCCAGTGATAGGACAAGGGGTAATGGCCATAAGCTGGAGCACAGGAAGTTCCGTCTCCAGGTGAGGAGGAACTTCTTTCCTTTGAGGGTGACAGAGCAGTGGAACAGGCTGCCCAGAGAGGTTGTGGAGTCTCCTTCTCTGGAGATCTTCAAAAGCTGCTCAGATGCAACCCTGTGCCGCATGCTGTAGCTGACCCTGCGTGTGCAGGGGGGTTGGACTAGACCATCTCTAAAGGTCCCTTCTGACCTTACGGATTCTGTGATTCTATAGTTTCCCCACCTGTTGTCATTTCTGGTTTCCATTGCTACTGGGTTTGGAGATGCCCGGTGACCAGGGATGGGAATCAGATTGCTCCTTTCTGCGGAATAATCAGACTGGATCCGTGGAGAAGTATGAGTGATTTGCTGGGGAACCACCTTAGCTGCATGAAGACAAACAAGGAGTCAGTTAACAAAGAAAAAGCCAGCAGACATTGCAAATTCTCCTGACTAGAAGTCTAAAATACAGTTTTTTTTTCTCTTTTCTCCTCCTCTCCTCTCCACAATGATGATGCATTTTATTCTAAGGACAAATGACTAAGGCAAACAAAGCACATCCATCTTATCTTTTTTTCCTTAGTTAGTGCCAGAATTTAGCGGCACTATGAAGGTAGTCCTAAGTTGTATTTCCTCACAGACTAAGTCACACTCAAAGTTACACTGTTATGGTCAGCCCAATCCTTTCTGCTGTCAGGAATCTATGTAAATTTTAAAAGCAGAACCTGATACAGATCAAGAAAAATGAGACAAAGAACAGGCAGACACCTGGTATACACCTGGGATGGGGGAGAATGACTGCCAGGAAACACTAACATAAGGAGTTGTAACTCCRCTTCGCGAAAATTTATGTCGGAGGATGAATATCAAAGATCTMAACAAAATAAGACCATAAGGAGGGGGGTAGGAGACCAGAGTAGATGAACAAAAGGAGATTTAATCTGAACACCAGCAGTCCTGTTGGAAACCTATTTCAGRCAGGTTCTGTATCCAGGCAAGTTTCCCACCATTACAGCTTAGATTTCTACCTTCAACTGAACATGCTAAGCAAACTTAATTAGCCTACAGGAAATACCTCTAGAGGCTAAGGAAGGAACTGACAAAAATCAACTGATATTCACATCATYGAGCAGTTACTATTCCCAAATTAGAACCTGCAAATTTGGGAATGCCAGAAGGTCCAAGTTTGTCTAAGAATCCAATAGAACAGGTTAATGAACCATCTGATTACTGATTACCTCCCAGAACATTTATTTTTTCCTAGTGTTTAAAAGTCACAGCAGACTTAATTGATTTCTTCTAGCCTAAACAGATTTTATTTCCCCTTTCTAATTTCCAAATACTCACAAACACTGCTWGGGCATACAGAAAACTCTAGTTTCAGTTACATGCATCCTTCCCAAAAGTGAAGTCACTCACCAACTGGGATGTTTGAGGTTGTGACAGCAGTAGCATGGGAAGAATGGGAGGGCATCGTCATGGTGACAATGGTACTTGTAGGCGCTTGGGTGTGAGAAACTGAACCTAGAAATGGGGGAGGAAAAAAAAAAAAAAGAGATCAAATTAGATCTTTCTGTGGAGTGATACTACTCTAGCGTATGCACATCTGAATAGAGAGACCAATAAATAATTAAATAAACAGACAATCCCCTGAAGAATCCATAAATTTATCTCCAAGTCTGTTTATGTTCTTCCTAATGCAGTCTTTACCATAACTGTTTRCTCAAAACTAACCAGGTTCCATCAAGAGAAGACAATTCCCAAAGTTGCACTATGAATACTCACCAGCTGTGGTTGCTGAAGCAATGGTATTTGTTGCCAAAATAGGTGCCACTGTTGCCGCTGCCACCGGAGTACCAGTGCTGAAAATGGTTTTCTAGAAAGAGAAAAGGTCGTATCTAGACAAGCACATTTTTTCATTTTTTTTTTWAGCAAGGAATCACGTTTCACCGACTCTTAAAAGAACATGATCTTCTAATGTAGTATTGAGGCTTTTCCCAAATTTAACCTTAGCCAGAAGAAGCGGATGACAGAGAGCCCCAGCGGAAGCCCGAGGGGTTTCTCCTCTCGCAGCTCACCTGGGCCATGGCGTGGAGCTGCGGCTTCTGCGCTCCTATGGCCGGGTGAGACGGCAGCGTGATGCGCGTGGCCGCGTCCCTCGGCTGCGTGGGCCGCTGGATGCTGATAGCGGCTGACGGCGGGTGCTGCTGGATAGACAGAGTGGGGCGGCTGGAAATAAAGAAAAGGAACCATCAGGAAAATAATCCCATGGTACTAAGTCTGAAATATAAAATGCAGAGACACAAACGGGGCCTCTCTGACAGCGCCAATAGCAACAACTGTATGTTAAAGCTACAAAGAAAACTGAGCCACACTGTTCCGTTCTCCCTATCTCTCCTCTGGAAGCATTCATCTAGGACATGTTTATAAATATCTAGTATTGGTTGATAAGAAGATTTTTCTATTAGGGATGCTCTATACATTTCCAATTTACATGTAATTCTTCATTTTTGTCCGGCCCACAGAGATGGGCTACGTTATCCACAAGTCCCCAGAGCAGAACTGCTTTCTAAGGAACAGCAGATAACAGATTGACTCAATATGCTTTTTCTTTCTCAGAACAGAGAGCAATAGTTCATGTTTACAGCCATTTTCATTCATCCCCGAACTGGAAGCATCTTGCAAGCATTCCTATTTTAGCATGAGATCATCCCATATCTAGAGCAGTATCAACTCAGGATGACTCACACACACATGTTCCTTTCTCACAGTCTGTAAAATCAGAGGACTGTAGATACCACACACRGTGTCTGGAGCCTCATTACCTGAGAGTCGACTCTGTAGCATGTGCTGCTGTGGTAGTTATAACTGGAGACTGAGCTCTCGTAGCAGAGACAGTTGCCACCACGGCGGGAGGAATAGTGCTTGAAGTCGTCACAGGAGGACGAGACTATAAAACCAGCCAAGAAGAGACATTCAGGGGTCTGCAGTTCATACAGCTAAGAGCTGCTTGGCTAAAACTACTTTTCCTAAATCTCATCATAATGCTTTGGAATTCTAAGAGAGTTCGGTCTTTCTGTGTTGATCTGCAAGCTCCAAAGCAGATGCGTCCAAGTCTTCATAGCAGGTAAAGGGAATCAGCAACCAAAAGAGTTAAAAACACACACACACACACACACACACACAAAGGACTGTTCCATGCAGAAGAAAAAGAAACCCTGAACTATGTATACCTAGAAAAATCAAAAGTGATGACACTGAGATCTTAACTGTGTCAAGAGGCTTAACCCTTTATTCTAACTGTCAATGTTGACATTACTGCAGCTAGAAGATCTCTATAAACTTTTGCTTATATATGTATCTACATAATATAAAAATCTATTTTAATGTTTTATTACAATTAATTCTCTCTMTATATAGATATTATATATATATACACACTTATACATATATATAAATAATTCTAAATTATACATAAAAAGAGTAAATCAACACCAGCATATCATATCAGACCTCCCAGGGCTTTAAACCTTAAAGTATATTTAAACTCAATCTTCCAAACTTAGAAAGCGGTCACAAACTTGATTTCCTGAACCAAGTCTACGGGACTAATGTTTACTCCACAGCTTGTTATCAGAAACTGGTAGCCAATAAATAGAAGTGGAAGAACGTTGCCAGTAACCGCAGTCCAGTAAATATAGGGCTACGGGCCACGAGTTTCAAGGCTGTGTCAAGCAAGTTTGGGAGCAGATGGTCGGTGTTTCTACAGAGCCACTTAGCTGATACCTGCCTGGATTGGTTGATGGATGATGTGCTGAACTGCTGGCTGAGCTGCAGCTGCATTTGGCAGCTGGGACGCTGGTCTTAGGACTGTGGTTACTTTAGAGCTGGACATCATTGCAGCAGCTGCTGCACCTGCAAAACAAACCACAGGTGTTAAAGCACCAGGCAGCTAAAGGGCTCAGATGTGAACACAGGGACAGATTCTTGGGTTTGCTTCATTTCACACACATTTTAGTTCAAATGACATAGAAGTAGAGCTTGCAAGAAGAATACCTAAGACTCACAAAAGCATTTGGAAAAGAGAAGATACTATTTTAATGAATTRTTTTTATTGACCCTCTTTGTTCTTGTATATACAATAGTCTTATTTTGTAGATCTGATTTTATTCAAGTTATTAAAATGAGYAGGAATAATTCAAACAATCCAATGYGAAAGTGAATGACCTGATACCAACCACCTATCTGCATCTGCCAGAGCTGAGAAGAAAAAAAGAATGTGCATGCAATAAATAGGAAACAAAACCACACACACACACCCCACAACTTTTAAACCTGCAGCAAAATAGTACTTGGGTTACTTTGTCTCTTATTTGTTTTCTCATGATCATAACCGAGTCCATGCTTTTTCTAAGGGTCTGATCCCCTGTTTTGTTAGTTGTAGCAAGCAGCATCCCGGGAGACAAGAGTCAAGGTAGCTGGCATTAGCATTTATCTCAAACCCAAGCGCACACAGAATGACACACTAGCGGRCACAAAGATGTGGGCATGATCCTGCAAGAGGTGGTCACAGGAACACGCTGCAGAGCCCCAACCGCAGGCCAGCAGTGCCTCCCACCAAGAGCTCACGTGGCATTGTACATAGCAGGCCAGTCTGTACTAGGCAATATATATATATTTTTTTCCTGAAAATGTTTACTCTTTTACCTGCACAAAACTAGAGTAAGAGACATGATGGTAYCTGCCAGCATTGCAGTCCCTGTCACAGAGCCCTGCCCTGAAGGACTGAAGGAAGCGGATTACCTAACAGGCCAGCAGTCACCTGAAGTCCTACTTAAGCCAGCAGCCTTAACAGGAGAAACACGACCCACGCCAGCAGTGCTCTTTGGAGCCAGAGGCTGGATGCGCCTTCCCTGAGAGGTTACGAGCAGAAAGCAGTGGCAGCACTGCCAGATCCGACTGTACCTCGGGGCAAGTGAGAAGCTCCAATGTGCAGGGAAGGCCCAGGGGCGCTGCTCCTGATGATGGACATCTGCACGTTGGTGGCCATGATGTGGTGCAGGTTACTGGGGTGCCCCTGCGGAGTTAAACAAAAAAACCCTCAAACTGAGCTGTGCTGACAAGAACTAAAGGTCACCCTAATGGTATTTGCCACATACGTCCCAAAGAAAGAAAACAGCTTTTCTAGAAACACACAGCGCGTCCAGGTCGCAYGCGCTGCAAGTGAGCAGAGAACCAGAGCAAAGCCAGGCAGCCCGTGCAGCAATGGATGTTTTTTCCATGGAAAATGGAAGTTTTGGAGCTCTGCCTCTCTGGCTGGCTGCTGGTGACCAGGCAGCCAGAGAGCAGCCCTTCTGCCACTAATCACTGCTTGCTGAGGTTCCCATCATCTCTTCAGCAGAGGCAAGAGAATGGCGAGAACCTAAAGACACTTCATGTGGAAGCCCCGGAACTGSAGAGGTTTTAACATTGACAAAATAGTTTCAGATTATGAGGAATGGCATTTGCCTTTGCAGTCAAGATTACATCAAGAACCAACACGTTATCTACACACTGCCAAATTCTCTAATTAGCAGTTTAATAAGAGCACAAAGCAGAACATAACCATTTACCAGCATTATCTGCCCTGCCCCCAGGAAGGCTAAATAACACAGCACTAGTGAATCCCTGCAGTTTGTCTATACTAGAAAGCCTTCAGGTGAAACAAAAACAGCAGGATCTTTCACAGACAGACTCACTTGTTTAAAAGCTTTTGGATATGATTTTGCTATTGCAACCTCCTGTGCTCCATCAGGTTGACCAATACAGCAAATCAGCAGCTTTGTAACTGAGAGCAAGGTTTAGTGTTCCAAACAAATTTGTTCCAGCTGCTCATGGCCACTGAACAGTTCACTTCTTACCTTCTCTCCGAAATCCCTCCTGCGCTGGGTGAATGTAAGCCTTGACCTAACTTGGCAGAAAGCTAGAATAGGAAACACAAACCTGTTGTCCGCTGATAGTTGCCACTGGAATTGTCGGAGCCTGTGGGATGCTGCTTTCCATGGTGACGGTGACCTGCCCAGGAACCTTCGTGGGAGCGGAGAGCGTGGAGGGCGGAGCGGGAGCAATGGGCCGGCTGGGCATAGTGGGTTTCAGGGGTGGCTGCAGAAACAGGGCAAGATGTTGACAACTTAAGGCAACAGCCCAATGCTGAAGCCAAGACCATTTCTAGGAATCGCAACATGAACAGAAACTTGGCCTGCCCTAAAAAAATACTCTGGTTAAGCCTTTGGGAAGGAAAGATGTTGGCCATCAAAAGCTATTCCTTTTCCTTGAGACAAGGAGGAGACACTTCTGGAGTGGAAACAAGCATCTTCTAACATACAGTATGAGTCACAAGCAGTATCTGTCAGGGTTGCAGTATTCCCCCTACAGACATAGAAACAGTTTATTAAACTGTTCGCTCTGCCAGCAAAAATTGCAGGAAACCGACCGAGATTGTTTTTTGCTTGGGAGAAAAACGACAGAAGAGACCCAAAAGAAGAACACTGCGACACTGTGAAGTGCCCTGTGTGCCTTAAAAAGCAGTTACACACACAAGTAGGTGCGCAGCCAGCAGGAACACTGACATGAAAGCAGGTTCATTTATTGACACATTTTRTGCTTGCTCAACACTGAACAGCGCTGGCGTAGTGCGGTTAAGTACAGCTACAGACACGTCACAGTCACTTGAAAGAAATCTATGTGCTTTTTCTAATTCAAGTGCCCTTCCCTCCTTCGAGCCTCCTCACCTTCATGAGTCCCTCGGAGAAGGAGAGCGGCACGGCGGGCGTCAGATGCGCCGGGGAGGCSGTCACGGTCACGGGCGCCCCGGACGGCACCGGGTGGTGCTGYGTCAGCATCTGCACCTGCGGGTAGGGCCGCACCACCACCGGCTCCTGCTTCTCCTCGCGGGGCTGCAGGGAGCCGCCGGGGCCCACGTGCTCCCGAGGGGCCACCTCGGCATCTCGGGCGGCTTCATCGCTCGCTGCGGAGGAGGAGGGGACGCGGGCGGTGAGGAAGCGCGGCGCGGGGCGAGCGGCGCTAACCCCGGAGAGCGCCGAAGGGCGCCGGGTGCCCCGGACCGTCCCGCGCGGCCGCCCGCCAAGGGCGGGAGGCGGCCCCACTTACCGGCGGCGGCGGCGCTGCTGATGATGCCGGCGGCGCTGGCGGGCAGGGC